CCTCAAGAGCCTTGAGCAGGTTGGGCCCTGGCCTTATCAAGGCTGGGTAAAGATCAATCTGATGAGGGGCAGGCGACAGGGTCCAGAGTCTCACCGCGTCTTTGGCCAAGCCCTGGGAGGCAGGAGCCTTTGTTTGGGGGTGGCTGGGCATCTCGGGGTCTCACTCACCTCTGTCTTCTTAAATCGAGCCCGAAGGGTCTTCATTGCCAGTGTCTGGTGTTCCTCCTTCCCCCAAGCCACCTGGGGAGGGCAGTGGTGGAATAGGGTGAAGGACACCAGTCCTGGTGGATGGCAGGTCAGCTGCCTCCCCTCTGAAAGAGGACCACTTCCTCTTCCTTGGGCAGTTCTGGTCCCTGAAGCAAGAAAGGGACCTGCTCCACCTCTTACCTGCTGTGGGTCCTTTGGCAGGTTATTTGCCCTCTCTGAGTTTCACCTCCCTCATCTATAAAATGAGGGAGATAATTCCTTTTTTGTTGTTGTTGTTGTTGTACTAGGGATTGAACCCAGGGACAGTCTACCACTGAGTCACACCCCCCAGCCCTTTTAATTTTTTTTTTTTTTTTTTGGACAGGGCCTCATAGAGTTGCTGAGGCTGGCCTGGAACTTGTGATCCTCCTGCCTCGGCCTCCTGAGCATCTGGGATGACAGGTGTGACTACTGTGCCTGGCAATATTTTCTACGTGACCAACTAGTGGTCGATTTCCAGTGATGTCCTTAGCACAGTATGGCAAATCATAGGGGCTCAGTGAATACACTCTACCAGTACTACATCTGCGGGTGCAGATGGAGCTGGTCTCCAGGCTGTGTGGTCACTCTTATCAAGATTGACTTCCTTTCATTTCACCCAGTTCCAAAATCCCATGCTTTGATCAACTTGGCCTCTCACTTCTAGGCAGAGCTCTAACTCTGGAAAGTAGCCGCGCTCCCTCCAGGTGGCGCCTTCGTCCCCTCTGCCTTGGCTCTGCTGCGAGGGAGGGTCAGGGCTGGTTCTGCCTTCCCCTTCGTGGGCACTGGCCCCAGCGGAGGGTCCTCTGCAGAGAACCTCCTCCCAGTCCCCTCATGTCGGTCTGTTCTCTGGGTGAACAGCAGCAACTTGCCACACCAGGGGTCTGTGGCAATGGCTGTGTGCACGCATGTGCACACCTGGTCCATCCTGTGCACACATGGCTAAAGCGGCAGGGCAGGAATGGCTCGGGGGTTGCCAGTGCCAGGGGCTCCCCCTGTCCTAGCAGGATCTCCAGGGAGGCACAGGGAGTGGGGTGGGACGGGCCCTCACCTGCCCACAGCTCCTCCAAGTCCTCCTACTGCTGGGCGCCCACCTGCATGTCCACCCACCAGTCCTGCTCACTCATCTGGTCACGGTTCTTCATCACCCTCAGTCACGCTTCACCCACCCCCATCCACCATCACCCACCCATAATACCTCCACCTGCCACCCACCTGCCCACCCCATCTCTTCCCTCTCCACCTCCCCACCCACCTATCCACTCCCCTAGACACCCTGCACCAACCGATGTGCCTATTCACTCACCACCACCCATCACCCATTTTCCTGCATTCCACCCCAAAGTGGGTGCAATGAGACACTCAGGAGAGAAGCCCACAGTTTGCCTGGGAAGGAGGGGATCTGCAGGCTGGGAGAGGGGGCAGTGCCCTCTAATTTTAGGGAGCGGCTTCCTGAAAGAGATGATGGTCAGCAGGGAGAACCTGGTGACAAGGGAGCTGGGTGCTAAGCGGTGGTGGCAGGCGAGGTGGCGCCTCTCCAGCCAGGTAAAGGCCAGCGGCCAGCGGGAAGGCCGCGCATTGTGAGGGTGCGTGCGGGTGCTGCGGGGTGCGGCAGCCTCTCCCTCCTCCAACGGAGCTGCGGGCCCTACGGGAGCCTCTAGCCCAGGCCTCCTCTCCTACCTCCTGCAGCTCCAGTGCCCTGCGCCAGGCCTCTGAGCCCACTGCGGCTCCGGTTACCCACCTCCAGCTGGGCCACGAGCTTGCACCAGCAGCTTCCAGCAGTTACTCAGCTCTGACACCCGATCAGCTCTGAGCGCGCCGCCGCCCCAAGGGGCTGGGATGTACTGAGGGAGGAGACAGGCTGGCGGACGGGGCTCTTCTCCATCATCCCTGGACTGATCGGTTTCTGGAAGGAGCTGCTCTGCCCTTCCTCCCACCTGTCACCTGCAGCCTCTGCTGCCAGGAAGCCCTTTCCACCCTCGCGTCACCCTCCTTCTATCGGACAGCGCTGGGTCTCCAGACCTTTGCTGCAACAGCCCTCCTCCAGGCTGCCCTTCAGGTGTCCCAGGCTGGACACCCTCGTGGCCCTGTGCCCTCTGCGCACCCATTACATCTAATCGCAGGTGTCACCATTGCCTGGCCACGTTGTGCCCATAGCCAGCCCGCGGGTAAGGTGGGCGACGTCCTCCTTCTCTGGCACTCCCTAGCTCCAGCAGGGACGGCAGGGGCCTGAAGCCACCGCCCCGAAGCCATGGGCAGTTTCTCTAGGCGCAGCGACGGCCTGCCCTGCTGGAGCAGCTCATCCGCCTGGATGGCCTTCAGACCACTCAGTGGCTTCGAGAACCTCCCTTGCACTGGGGTCCTGGGTCCCCTTTCCATGGCACTGTCCTCATGAAGTTCCCTAGTGTGCTCCCTCACTTTGGGGGTGACTGGAGAACTCATGTGGGGGGCTCCCCGCCGGGGCCACCGCGCATCCCCACCCCCGGGGCCCGCGCAAGCCAACCAGCGGCTCTTTTCCAGCACTAAATCTGGCGCCTGCGGCGTCACTGGCGGCGCCTGCGTCTGCGGGGCGCGGCCAGCCGCGCGGCTCCTCCCTCCTCCCGGCTCCATTTCCGGCGGAAGCAACCTCAACAAGGGAAACTTTATTGTTCCGTCCGGGCGGCGACGATGTCGGTGAATTACGCGGCCGGGCTGTCGCCGTATGCGGATAAGGGCAAGTGCGGCCTCCCCGAGGTGAGCGCCGCGGGGTTCCGAAGGCCGTCGCCGCGGGCGTGGCGGGGTCGGGCGGTTGCGGGGCATTGTGGGAATCTCAGGAGGCACCCCGGCTAGACAATGGGAGGGACTTCCCAGGGAGGAGGGGGCGGGGCCGAGAGAGGGACCGGGTCGGGGAAGGTCCGCCCGGTTGATGGGAGAGGAGCGGGGTGTGATTCCAGCGAAAGCAACGGCAGGGCCCCGGTGGGAGGCGGGCGTAACCCACCAAGCCGGACCGGGACTCCGTGCCAGGCTGGGGCGTGGCCCCTGATCCCGGGGACTGGGAAGGGTTCTGAGCGGGAGGGGTCGAGATGGCCGGTGGCCGAGACCCCTGCGCCCCCGGAGGGCAAGTGCCGGGAAGCTGCCCTGCGCACGGGCCTGGGCTCCGAGCTGGGCCCCCGGTCCCTCTCCTGCACCCGGGCGCCGGCCGCGGCCGTCCAGCTCGCCCGCGGCTGCAGCAGGAGCCCCGCGGGGACTCCAGGGAGCCCGCCCTTGGGCCCGCTGCCCCCAGGTGGCTCACGGGCAGCACCACGGGCAGCACCGAGCGCCCTGTGACCAGGTGTTACCTGGGGCCGGGGAGCAGGGAGCAGGACGGAGCTGAGGACCAGCCACCTCTCACCGCCCCTCCCCCGGGCGGGCGGGCGGGCGGGACAGGCCTGACCCTGCCACTCGGGGACTCCGGGGACTCACTTGACTGCCTGTCGCTGCGCAGATCTTCGACCCCCCGGAGGAGCTGGAGCGCAAGGTGCGGCAGCTGGCGCTGCTGGTGTCGCGGGCCTCCCACGTGGTGTTCCACACGGGCGCGGGCATCAGCACGGGCGCCGGCATCCCTGACTTCAGGTGTGTGTCCCCCGGCCTAGGGACCCGGGGTCAGGGGGTCCCTGGAACCACAGCCCGCTGTGCTGTCCCCCCGGGGTCAGAACCTGGCCCTGAACTCGCCTGGCTGCAAGGGGTGCTGGGAAGTGTGGCTGCCGTCCGACGGCACCTGCGGGGCAGCCAGCTGGTCACACGGGGTCCTGTGGCCACAGGGACGTCAGGTCTGCTCTCACTGCCAGGAGCGCGGGGCCAGGCAGGCCTTGCCCTTGGGAGCCTCCATCTCCTGGTCCTCTGGGCAGGTGGGCCAGGTGCTGTCCAGACTGCCCGAGTCCAGCAGCTGCCCCAGTCGGGGGTCTGGTTGCTGGAAGGGGGGGGGTTCAACCGCGGCCAGACCGTGGCCGTTCCCAAGAGCCTCCTGGGCCCCAGGCCCAGACCCTCCCAGCGGGACCCGGGTCCCAGGGCTGCTGAGGTCCTGAGGCCTGAGCCCTGCCCGCCGGGCTCCCCATCACAGTCACCGGTCACAGGTCACGGTCACAGGGTGCCCTCCTGGGCTCAGGCCCAGCCCTGAGCCACTGCCCTGCTCCCCTGCTGTGGCCCCCAGACCCCCGCCTTCCTCCAGCTGCCAGCCTGTGTTTCCCCTCTGTCTGAGTGGAGAGGCCGCCTTCCTCCCCCACAGTCCCCAGTGAGGCCAGCTCTGGGTCCCTCCCTGTGACCTGCAGGGCTGGAGGGCCAGAGTCCAGCTGTGTCTCCCCCATAACTCCTTGAGGGCAGGGCAGGGGTCTGCTATGACCCCAGCATCACCAGTGTAGCCAGGGTCAGCTTGACCGGCCTGCGCTCCGTGCTCTGGACCTGTCTTCCTGTCCCTGCCTGCTCTGTCTGTCCCTGTCCTTCCCTCTGGCTCTCTCCGTCTGCTCTGCTCTGCCTTCCTCTGATTCTTTGTCTCATTGGCTCCAATTCTGTCTCCTTTGCTGCCTTCGCCTGTTTCCTCCAAACCCTCCCCCCTGCACCTCCAGGGGCCCCCGCGGCGTCTGGACCATGGAGGAGCGCGGCCTGACCCCCCAGTTCGACACCACCTTTGAGAGCGCGCGGCCCACGAAGACGCACATGGCGCTGGTGCAGCTGGAGCGGGTGGGCCTCCTCCGCTTCCTGGTCAGTCAGAACGTGGACGGGCTGCACGTGCGCTCCGGCTTCCCCAGGTGACTGGCTCTGCCTGCCCCCGGCCTGGGGCACCACACCCTGGGTCCCCCGCTCCTGGGGCTCATCACAGCTCTGCACGCCCCCCGACCCGGGGCTTCCAGGTCTTTCTCCACCCCCTGGGAGAAGCTGCCCCTCAGATCAGCCAGGCTGGTGGAGGTGGAGCGTCTCCAGGGTGGCTCCCCTCAGGCGAGACTCCCCTCAGGTGTGACTCCCTCAGGTGTGACTCCCCTCAGGTGTGACCCCCCTCAGGTGTGACCCCCCCCTCAGGTATTGCTCCCTCAGGTGTGACTCCCCTCAGGGGTGACCCCCCTCAGGTGTGACCCCCCCTCAGGTATTGCTCCCCTCAGGTGTGACTCCCCTCAGGGGTGACCCCCCTCAGGTGTGACTCCCCTAAGGTGTGACTCCCTCAGGCATGATCCCCCTCATGTGTGACTCCCCTCAGGTGTGACTCCCTCAGGTGTGACCCCCCTCAGGCGTGATCCCCCTCAGGTGTGATCCCCCTCAGGTGTGACTCCTTCAGGTGTGCTCCCCCTCAGGCATTGCTCCCCTCAGGTGTGACCCTCCTCAGGTGTGACTCCCTCAGGTATGACACCCCTCAGGAATTGCTCACCTCAGTCGTGACTCCCCTCAGGTGAGACTCCCCTCAGGTGTGAACCCCCTCAGGCATTGCTCCCATCAGTCCTGACTCCCCTTGGGTGAGACTCCTCTCAGGTGCGAACCCCCCAGGTGTGATCCCCCTCAGGTGTAACTCCCCTCAGGTGTGACCCCCCCTCAGGCATTGCTCCCCTCAGTCGTGACTCCCCTCAGGCAAAACTCCCCTCAGGTGTGACTCCCTCAGGTGTGACTCCCCTCAGGTGTGACCCCCCTCAGGCATTGCTCCCCTCAATCGTGACTCTCCTCAGGTGAGACTCCTCTCAGGTGTGAACCCCATCAAGTGTGACTCCCTCAGGTGTGACTCCCCTCAGGTGTGACCCCCCCAGGCATTGCTCCCCTCAGTCGTGACTCTCCTCAGGTGAGACTCCTCTCAGGTGTGAACCCCCTCAGGTGTTGCTC